TCCTTCAAATGGAATTTCTCTCGCAACGCTGAGCGCCAACGTTTCAATGTAAACAACCTTTCCCACGGTCTCGCAACAACGGCGCCGCATTCTTAGCATTCTTAACATCTATTCATAATACATGTTCAATATTACCTATGTTCAATCTTACCTACTTTATTCATAGCTACATTAAATAACTTGACCACCTCATCTGTTTATTGCGTGCAAAGTTGTCATATTAATAAATGCTAGAAATGTTACTCCATCTAAATAGGTAATTGTTTGCAAGGAATGCACTGCCCTATTTAAACTTAGAGGTGATCTTGGAAACATTATACTCAACGATGCGATCTCAGAAGCAACAGGGAGGGCAGCACAACACTCTGCAGCGGCGGGCAAAAGTTTGATGGTTGCTACCACCTGTCGGTAGTAAAGAGAGAACGACTGCTTGGATAGCGCGGCACGCACGGTTTTTCTACACAGGTGATAGTAAGCATGGCCTTTGCCCCTACTGAATCCCTGTTTTGCTGATGTCCAAGCTACTCGATACGATGATAGCAAAGTAGACGACGTAGGCGTCTAACTTCACAGTGTTCATTTGTTTGCCTAGCTGAAACGCCTGGATCGCAATTGGACAAGTAAGAGGAAGCTCTCGATTGATAAAATTGTACAATGAAACTTTTTCCAACATGCTAGGAAAAGCTGTAGTTCAGTGGTTCCCAAACTTTTTCAATCTAGCTAGTGAATTTCTAGCGCCCCCCACAGACACATAAAAAATCATGCGCCTCTTACTAAAAATTTAGTTCACTGCAATTTTAAAAGATGAAAGGTTAAACACAAATGTGTATTTCACAAATAGGACCCCTTTTAGTGAACCAATGTTTTTCAGCTGTTTTATCTGTTTCAGCACTAGAAACCAAGTACTTCTCGGGCAAATTTACGGCCGGACTCGTGACCGGTCTCACGACTAATCTCCAAATTCAGTTATCAAGGAATATTACCCAAACTAATGAACGCAGCTCAATAAAACTTGGAACATGTATTCATCAGAACTTAACGGTGACGTTTAGCTTGCGAAAAATTTTTAAATATCATCTTCATTCGTGAGTTTTATTGCGATACAGGCCGAAATTCGCAGTGATTGAAGAATTTCTTTCAAACTACCGAGCAGATTTGAACGAAATTTTGAATATAGATTCCTAACCACCAAATGGTGTTTTTTAGATTGAAAAAATGTTTATTTTTCCGTCGTTTGCGAAATTTTTTTCATTTTACCGTCATTCTTGATTTCACACTCCCTTATTCGCTTTCGTTCGCAAGTTATATAGATATAGGAGAAACGATCGGCTTTTCTATCGGCTGGTTTAACCAATAGCCGTTTACGTGTAGCCGTATAACTCACAAACGAAGGCAAAACGAAAAAATTGTAACGAGCTAAACATCACAGATGCTGAGGCTAGGTATTAAAATACTAAATTTCTTTCAAATCTGTTCAGTAGTTTGCAAGAAATTTCTTGATTACTGCGAATTTAAGCACGCATTGCTGTTTAAATCATGAATGAAACTCGCGAACGAAGGCACAATCGAAAAATGTTTCACGAGCTAAACATCAACGTTCGGTAGTTAGGACTGTAAATTCAAAATTTCATCCGAATCTGTTCAGTAATTTGGGAGAAATTCCTTGATCATTGTGAATTCGGCCCATATTGCCATATAAGTATGGCAAAAACAATTGCAGGCAAAATTAAAAAAATTGTTCACGAGCTTTACATTACCGTTAGGTCCTAATGAATACGTGTACCAAGTTTCATCGAGTTAAGTTTATTAGTTTGAGAGGTATTTCTTGATCATTGAATTTGGAAATTGGCCGCGAGTCCGGCCGTTAATTTGTCGGAGACGTAAACCCAGGAGAGGTTAAAAAAATATAACTCAGTACCCACTGCAGTGAATGACAGAGAGAGCATTTTCTTGTCGACGAAAACGTGAAGTCACGGACTGACAGACAGGCGGACAGATGGACAGACAGACGGACGGACATGGCGAGCACAATAGTGCATTTTTTCCATAAATGAGTAAATGCGCTAAAAACAGATCTGGGTGAAAAAACCATCGCTGTGAGGCATGTGCTGCACGTGTTGTGTACAAATCGTCAAACAAACATTCGAACTTCTGACTTCCACTTCGGACCGCCGCCCCCCTATCGCCCCCCAAACGCCCTCTTCTTCTTTACCGCCCCCCCCAAAATCTTTCCATCGCCCCTAGGGGGGCGATATCGCCCACTTTGGGAACCACTGCTGTAGTTGATACAAAAATAAGAACAGATGCTTCTATTCAAAATTTTGTGTAATACATAAAAGTTTGAAGTTAATCAAGAATAGAATAATGCATGAATTTTATAAAATTTAATAAATAGAAGGTAATAATAATTATTGAAAAGGGTAATTATAGTCAAAAGCTGCAACTGATTTTCCTGGACCAGTTGTATTTGTGTTTCTTTTTGGTGCTTATTTTCCTGTGAAAGGATACTACTACTTCGTTTTTGCACAAGCACCAGTCTATGAATTACCAGTTTTCTTGTTAAAGCTTCATTCCTATTTGCTTCGTTTATTTCCATATTTTTAGTTTCTGATGAATCCCCCTTCTTCTGCTCTGAACAACACAGATTCCAGAACAACGCTTGAATCTGTGGTACAGAAAAAATATTAAAATCCATGCATATACTTATCATCGAGCGGCAAAGTCTTGATGCAATATAAATAATGCAATTCATAAATTGTAAATATTTCATGAAAATGTGTATGATTATAAGTCATAAGAGATATGTTCATGAGCGTATAAAACATAACAATGTAAATAAATATAATCAGAAATAATAATAAAAATTGTTATAATCGTTCCACTGTATGTCAAGTTGTGGTAGACATTGCCTGTCCTAACACAAAACCACAATTTAGTGGATTTGGTGTTTTGTTGTGTTCATTTTTGTTGGGGCTACATGGATGTGTCTTCTAAGCTCCCATAATCCCATTGGCATAAAACAACAACTAGAAGAAGGTAACATTTCTGTTGTGGCTTTCATACTTACTTCCAATACATTAACTTTTTATTTTGTTTGGCGTACACACTGCATTGAAGGCTCCAGACCTCCGGTGTATACGCCGCACCATCCTGGGTATGGGGCATTTCTAAAGCCATGGCCAACATCATGCGCCATGCGTATTGCGTAGGCCATGTAAGTGTGTTCCAACATTACAGGAATCACGTGACCATAATTTTAGATGAAGTAGCCCCGTTGAACGAATGAACGGGGCTACTCGGGACACTTGGAATTAAACTTCATTTTAAAACATTTGAAGCATGCAGAGCGTACTCATCCATTACTAACAGTACTCTGAAGTCCTCCTCTTTCATTGTAGATGATGTAGAGGTAGAATAAATGACTTTTCTTTGACTTTTACTTGTTTTTCCTTTATTGATATGATATTACCATATACATTAATTACCGTATTATTGATGTGACATTATCGTATTATTGATGCGATATTACCGTATCCATGAACATGCCATTGAGCATTTACAACAACCATGTTCACTGCAAGCTTCATATCAGCAGCCTTATAGCATTTTTTCTGTATCTGTAAGCTTACAGGACGGCTTGTAATTTCACACCATTTTAATTACGTTAAGTGAATTTACTATAAAGAAAAGATCGTGAAAAACATACCTGAAACAGAAAGGAATATTTTGGTGACAACCATCATATGTTTTGGAGAAATAAATCATAGTTTAGGTCAATTACTTTTCATTCTATGATGCCTGGTGCACAATTCTATATATGACATTCTATGCACAATTTTGTGATGACCAATGATGCAATAATTTTTCGATGAGTGAAATTTTTTTCGCTGAGCGAGGTAAATGTAATAAATATTCTTTGTTTTTAATCAATTTTTTCTTAACTGGAGCCTTTGCTAACTGAGGTTCTACTGTAAATGTGTTTTTGGGGGTGTCCCAAATAGCCCCGGGGGGGTGTCCCGAGTAGCCCTGGGGGAGTGTCCCGAGTAGCCCCGCCTTGCGGAAATAGCCGCCAACATTTTTTTTTAATTAGATAGGACAACTCCTTCAATTACATTTTCAAGCCGACACCTGGGTGCAACTTTTATGTAAGTGAAATTTTTTAATACGGCAAATATATTTTTTGCTACAGACCTTAGCAGAAGTAACTTTTTCAGAATGGCATTTTTCACCATTTTTTAGGAATTTTTCAAAGCTAGTAAATGTAGTATTTTTCGACTTCCTTTATACTACATAGATAGGAAAAATGTTGACGTTTACGCCACTATATTTAGTTTTGCAATATTCCAATTAGTTTTGCTACTAAAACAGTTTTACGCCGTGTTGAAGGACTGTCCCGAGTTACCCCGCCCATCCTGAGTAGCCCCGGTTGATGGTATATAATTGTGAGCTGAAACACATGAGCTTGGTCTGCCCTAAGATTACCCCTGGTAACAATGTTTGGTTCAGACAAAATTTATGGTGTCTTTTGTAAATAACTTATCTGAAAAGTCACAAAAGTTTGCATAAAAATTTTATAAAACTTTATTTCTGAAATCAAGTGACAAGCAATCCCAATCTAAAAATGAAGAGTTGATGTTCTGCAAGACTGCCAATCTATTGTTTACAGATTCTTATTGTGAAAACTGAGGTCCAAGGCTGCAAGTCAATTTAGTCATTTTGAACATGTGATACAAAGCGTTAGTCAAATCAAAAGTTTAAAACCTTGCAGAAAAGAATTTAAAGAAAACAAGCCCTGAAACTACTTAAAATAAGCCTCTGATGAGCCACTCTTTAGCATGGAATTTAACATAAGCCACTGATTATTGAAATTCCATGCACAAGATTTGTAAACTTGATTTCTTGAACCAAGATTTGATTAATCTATACAAGAACAAAGATAAAGCTCTATATCCAAATTATCTAATTATTTCTGTGTATTAAATGATCTTAATTATTTTCAGAAAGTGATGTGTATACTGAGAATTGAACATGGAGGATTCTCTTGACCAAGCTTTTGAAATTGTTGCTGGTGTTGAGGATTATTTGAGCAAGAATGTTTTGCCAAAAGCCCGCAAAAACTCCCACCACAATTGTGACTCATTATTCCAGGTGGGATATTTGTATAATTTAATATTCAATTCCATGTCCCATTCAACATAAAATGTACCTACTAATTTCAATGTCAAATTTTCAATTTTATCCTTCATATTTCTCTGTGTATTAGGCTTTGTATTGCTTGTTAAAAAGATGACATTGTAAATTGTCATACTGCAGTTTTTTTCATTCCATGCACATTTTTCCTGTAAATAATTTTTTTAGATTTGTGTATTTGTTATTCGATTCATCAATAAGACAGGTAGCATGGAGAATAAATTTCACCTTAGGCACCAGTGATTTTACTAAAGTCAATGGTTGTTATAACTGATAGAATAATCATACTTTGAGGTTTTTTACTTAATTTATCTGACTTTGCAATTACAATATTGTTGGGACCATTTCTGTGACCCTGAATCTCAAAGTTAGCAATTGTTGAATATTATATATTTCAAGGAATAAAGGGTTGCTTTTAGAAGTCTGATTTGTCCATAGGATGTACATAGCGAGATAATCAGCCTAATTTGGTATTGGGTAATGAATAAAATAACACTCAGCTTAGCATAATACATGCTACTTAAGGGGTGATGGCACATTGAGGGTGTAGTTCATATAGTCTCTCTGCCATGACGTCACTGCTTGTGATATTACATGATATGTGGAAACTAGTGTTGAAGCAAACAGTAATTAATTATCCATAGTAAAATACCACATCAAATGATCTCCTTTTGCAATTTAGTTGATGTTTCTGAGTGTGAAAATAATTAATCTTTTAATTTTCGTGATATTGACTTATTTTTTGTTTTTTTTTTCAGGAGGCCGAATCATTGCTACTGAAAGGCTTGCCAAAAGTCAATGTCCTGGACAAGCTGTGCAAAGAAACCCTTGCCAAGTACCCACCTCTCCTTTTCTCATCACAGGCAGATGTTGAATCTGAAGGGGAGAATGTCATTCCTGAATATTCTGTTGATATCAATGAAAGTAGCATTCCTGTGGACAACGTTAACTCTACTGATGAGACTGAAAAGAATGAATCACAAAGCCCTGCCTTGCCTTCATGCCACATTTTATCTGAACCTAAGAACAAGCAAAGAAAAATGCAGGATGAAGATCCTGCTAGTAAAACCAATTCCAAGAGCAAAGATGGTAACACTGATGTCAGTGAGCCTCAACCTTCCTGTAGTGGGTATAAAAAGCAGGTATCTGCAGTACCTGAGGTTACTATAGAGAGTGATGATGATTCGGTAGGTTCAGTAGAATGTTTAAATTGCCAAAAAAGTGTAGCTTCTAATAAGGATGTGATCGTGGTAGATGATACCTCTGAAAATGTAGAAGATGAGGTGCAGGTTGTTAATACCAAGGACGTGCCTGATGTAGTGACTTTACTGAATGAGGCAACCCAAAAGCTGCCATGCAAGCATTCAAGAAAGTGTTCACACCGAAATTGTTGTTCATCAAATTCAGAGCTTCGTGATGATGAAATCCATGAGGAAGCAGAAGAGCTTCTGCAACATCTGCCATTCTCTACCTATGATGCCGTCAGTTCTGCAGTGAAAAACTGGTATCATGACTCTAACAGAAAGTATGCTGTAATGTCAATTTTAATTGCGGAAGCTGCATTCAAAGGCAAGGAAATTCCTCAAAGTACCTACAAAGCACTTAAGAATCTGGCACCAAAGAAACGTGATCTCACACACGTTGAAGATGTGGAAGAGCAGCCTGGTAAGAGAAAAACGTCATCCATGACTCGGCCTGAAACTACCGAGTCAAAAGACGCTTATTTTGAGTCACCTGAATCACCACAACATTCTGGGTTTTCCATAACAATTGACAATCGCCCGAGTCATCTTAACCCTCATGTTTTCCTTGATCCACTAAACATTTACAATGAAATGAAGTATGGTGATGTGATGAACCCCTTGCTCAGTGGTGATGGTGCATCTCATACAGGCATGCAGTGGCCATCAGGAACAACTGTCAAATCAGAGACATCTGAAGTTCCATATGGCAAATCATTTCCATCTAAGTCAAATGTGCATGAAATGCTATTCAAAGACGCTGATCTAAAAGAAACTCACGATGAATATGCATTAACTAATGTTCCAAAGTGTACTAAACTACGTGAGTTTCGTCAGAGGACTTGTAGTGGATCAACCATGTTATCCAGCCATGACGAGCCTACTAATGCACCCGAAATTATATCTCAAGATTTTGGCGTTGAAGAACGTGTGTTATTCAAGGAAGAAAATATCGATATGGAGGAAGATGCCCCTCCAGAAGTGCCAGCCAATATTGATGAGATTCACCCTGAAGATATTGGAGCTGATGAAGAACAAGTTACTGTAGAAGATCCTCAATTGAATGATGGTGCTGCTGGAGTTTTAGATGATGTCCAGAGACAGAACTGGATTGAAGAGAAGACTGCCCTCGTTGCTTCTATTATTGAGACCGTCCCTGTTTGCACGATAGCCGAGAGAGTGCGACTGTGTTTTTCTGATGTTGACATTGAACAGGTTATTGATTCACTGCTTAATTCAGCATCTCCTGCCCCTGAAGTTAACGCAGCTGATCGAGTCCAGCGTGACGAAGCTGTTGCGGGGCCCAGTGGCTGGTCAGCTTTTAGGACTGTGAAAAACGGAGATCGCGCGTCTGCAGCTTCAACGTCAACTGAAGGATCAATGCCTGGCCTTAAAGAATTCATCCCATCAAGACCTGGTGGTGCTTTGCATTTGTCTGATGATGAGGTCACATCAAGTGTTGATGAGGCGGGACCTTCTACGTCAGGTAGCAACAAAGAAGCTGCTTCACATGATGACGAGCAGGAGGATGAAGAATGGGTTGAATCTCATAGCAGGACGCTGAGGGAAATGTTCCCAGATGCTGACCCAGAATATCTAGCAACCAGGTCAGTTCACGTCAATTTTACGAAATTCTTTTTAGCTTTTATGTTACAATCACTGTTAAATTTTACAACATGAATATACGGCTTCTGTGATCCATATTTTGGCGACAAAATTTATTGCAGGAAATATAATTTAGTTACTGTAGTATCGAGTAGTATTTACTTGTATATTAACTCAATGCATCACTTGTCTTCTTGTACTTCTTGATCAATGCTGGCAAAATTGCTGCACTAATTAAGATTGTTACTACCTCCTGACCATGTCTCGGGACCATACTAGCATGACTTGTTTGAGTACACGTAGCAGTTCAAGTACACGTAGCGGTCTAAGTACGTACAAGTAAAGGCCGATTTCTCGTCTGAGATTGGGGTAGGTTTTGTTGGAGAAGCCGTCAGTGATTGGCTGATGAAATTAAGAACTTGAAACATTATTTGAAATTAAAGTCCCTTGTTACTTCATGACTTAGCTCCCCTACAGATGTGAAGAAGTCAAGCCTGAGGTGGCACGCTTTGAAGCCCTTGCTGTTGAACTCATGGAGACCAAAAATTATCCTAAGATGGAAGAATATCTTGCAAGGAAGAAACGCAGAGAAATGCGCAAGAAATTCCTAGATGGCATGACAGTCCCTGAGTTCTTGGAGCTTTTCGAGGAGCCTGAAAAGGTAATTTTTTAGGTATTACCACATGTCACTAGTGTCAAAAAATATATCTCTTAATTAATTTATAGAAAGAAACGTTAATGATATCATTCAACAGATTTACTAGATTATTAATTTCCACATCACAGCGCAACACCTGATTTATTCTTAACTCAGCTTGCGTTCGACTTGGTCTCAACCTGGCCAAAAAAACTGGTCATAAAATCTTAAAAAATCTTGTTCAAACTGAAAACAAAAATCTGGGTTCTTAAAATCTTGTTCAAACGAACCCAGATACTAACTGGGGCTGTTCTATTAAAAGTTTCTTTAGTACATGTAGCATCCTAAGTTCACTAAGGGCTAATTTGTCATCTATGATTTGTGGGTTTAGGTTGCAAATACATCAATGATTGGCTGGCGTATTTATCAACTCTTAACTATTCTTCATGATATGCCCCTGTTAATGATGGCCCAGGGTGGCCCAGTGGTTAAAGTTCAGAGTCCCAGGATTGGCGCAGAAAGGCGCGGGTTCGATCCCAGCTCTGTGCGCCAGTTTCTGGTCAGAATCGGCGAGGAGGCCGGGCGGGTAAGCAAAGCAAAATTGCAGCAGTGAGTTGCGAGTTCGAGACCGCAAAATGCTGTGAATGTTCTGCGATGTTAAGAATCGGCGACAGGCCTACGGCCTAATAAACGCTGAAACCGCTATATATTGGCCAGGTGTTCTACGACAGCAGTAAAAAGATGAGTGCCGAGTACCGCAACAACTCTCGGGCCCAGCTTCTCAACGACCTGCCCTTCCACCTCTCCAAAGAAGTCGACCACGTCCTCAATGCCAATAACTACCACTACCTACCGTCACTGCGCCAGCTTAAGGTAGGTACCATATCTCAACGCAGCATTCTAGTTTTTTTTTAAACTTCAACGAAACTTTTATGTATATTTTGTCTAGATCAATTACTGAGCAATATTCTTCTATGATGATATATTTACATGGTAGTTTCTCATATGTTCAATACTTAAAAGAGAATCTTCTATATTTCAAGTTTAGTCTATTCTAGATCCTTGCAAAGTTTGTATTTATTTTATATGTGTAGAAAACTGTGATCGAACTGTGAGTGATTGTCATCAAAGATGTTATGTTTGCTCTTCCTCCAGTCAGTAATATATGATTCAACAGATTTTCATTCCAATATTATCTAAATTTAAATTTCATATTGTATCTTGATAACGTTTCTACTAAAACGTTGTCACTACGGTACTACCTTGTCACCTTTTTGATGGCAAGCTTTCATGACTCATTTGAGGTAATTCTTAATTCATGGCTATTTTTGAGCACACACAATAGTAGAAATCTCAAAGAATCGCTCATATATATTATTAATTGTGAAAAGTACAATTTTTCAAAATTTATGAAGAAAAGGCTGTACTTTTTTATAAAGTTCGCAATATTTTGCTTTTTTGTGTACAGTTGTACGAAAAATGTGGCCGGCGAAAAACGAAACGCAAAGAAACTCCCATCAGCGGCGAGCTCGAGGACTTTTTCCTGAAGGAGTTGTGCTACGCGCGTCTGGAGGAGTCGATAGAAAGGCACCGCGCGGCTCAGGAGGAAGCCAAGAAGGAGGCTTTCGCTGCTGCGAAGGTCGCCGGGCTGCTATGCACGTGTCCCATTTGCTGTGAAGACGAAATACTTGAAGAAGACATGCGGGCTTGTGCCAGTCTCGACTCCCCGCACCTCTTCTGTAAAACTTGCGTCAGGAGGTTAGCAAGTACAATGTCTTAGACATTCATCTTCGTTATTATAAGCCTCTGATCATTATTGTTTCTTCACGAAATACGCTGTCGCTAAGCTGGGATGATTTTGAATTCCCTTTCCCCAATTTTATTGGGATGGACGCAACTGGCACTAAAAAGTTGCTGTGCTCTGGTTTTTTTATGAAATTTGTCTAGTACTTCTGCCCGTATGTAAATACTTTTATTTTCATTGAAATGGATGAGCTCTGCTTTAGTTCACAGTTTAGTTTAGTTTAGCTAGTTTAGATTTAGTTTTTTACCTACTTAGGCAATGCAACGTACCAGCTCAGGTATGATAAATATTATTCTCTTCTACTTAATTTCTCCCTGAAGCCTGGACAATAAATGGTCTGTGCAAGCAAAGATCTTTTTCAACTGGAAGTCATGGCATGGTCTCATACTACACGTTATTTTTTAGTACAATGATGTAGAATTTAGCTCTCAAATTGGTGGATAACAGTTAGAAGTGTAGCACAAACTTGTAGTTATTGTGCTACAAGTTTGAATATTGTTGTACTCAAGTGATTGTTGCTTATCATTTTTGACTTTTGAAACGGCTCAGGATTTTTATGCGAGTTTATAACATTCACTTCACCTTATTATTGCAGGTATTGTGAGGAGCAAATCGGGCAAGGGAGTTTGAAATTCACCTGTTTGGAAGGCTCGTGCAAGGAAGAGTTTTCTCTGAACGTCCTCAAGACTGTACTGAAATCCTCGGTATTCTCGAACTTGCTGAAGCGTAAACAAGCCGAGGAGATTGTGGCTGCCGGCATCGCCGATCTCGAGTGTTGCCCCTTCTGTAATTTCGCCACAATTATGCCTAATAAAGAGGATAAGGTTCGTTCTGCATGTAATATATTTACGAGGCTGTTATAGGCACATTTTCCTCACTCTCTGACAATCTAATGACATGTCTTATTTTGATTTTTTATCGATTCCGTCTCTCATATTGTTTTATTTTCGTTCATTTTTTTGACCTTTATATATCTTGAGAAGTGTTGATCCTAAAAATCATGGATTTTGATGTCTTCTCTACTGTCATAAATATTATCCAGCGTCTTGTCGTATAGCCTTTTCCTAATAACCTAAATTATTGCCTAAAATAGTTTTGCTTTTGATGGTCAACTGGTGGATGGTCAACTGGCTTTTGATGGTCAACTGGCTTTGATGATGGTTGATGGTCAACTGGCTTTTGATGGTCTTTGATGATGATCATCAGGCTTTTGATGGTCAACTTCAACTTACATATTTTCCACTGCATTTCTACAAGCATGTCGTATTCGCAGATTTTCAATTGCCTAAACCCCGAGTGCCTGAAGGATACATGCCGCCTCTGCAAGGAGCTCTCACACATCCCGCTACGCTGCGAGGAAGTTGAGACGAAGTCCCAGCTTTCTGCCCGGACTTATCTTGAGAACCAAATGTCCGAAGCAATGGTCAGGTGAGCGCAGCACTTCTTCAGCCTGTAAATGTGATACAATTAGAGGCCTGAATGGAACCAGGACTTATCTTGAGAACCAAATGTCCGAGGCAATGGTCAGGTGAGCACAGCACTTCTTCAGCATGTAAATGTGATACAATTAAAGGCCTGAATGGAACCAGGACTTATCTTGAGAACCAAATGTCCGAGGCAATGGTCAGGTGAGCACAGCACTTCTGCAGCCTGTAAATGTGATACAATTAGAGGCCTGAATGGAACAAATACCAGTAGGTACATTCGATATCATGTTTAAATTATAGAGAAATTAAAGTTGAACTTTTTTTGGCTTTCACTCAAATATTGAGTCCAAGGATATTGATTTTTTGTATTAGGTCGTGCAATTGGGTTTTGCTGCTATTGTTTTCATTATTGATATTGACAAGCTCTTCAATTGTTACGCTAAGTTTTTGACTTCATTTCAATGGCTAATGAATGAATTCTTTGCTTTGGTGTAATTTTTAGTGCCCGCATTTGTTTGTGCGTTTAGAAAATGACAATCATTGTAGAATACCATTGTTTTTACTTATTGATAAACACAAATGTACGTAAAATGATACTCAATGTGTCTCATTGTTAACTATTCAATTTTTCTCTGCCATTGATAACATTGTTTTTTCAGAGAATGTTACAAGTGTGGCCAGCGCTTCATCAAAGAGGACGGGTGTAACAAGATGGTATGTTCATGCGGTGCCGTGATGTGCTACCTCTGTAAAAAACCAATACGAGGCTACGACCACTTCACTGACCAGGGCAGAGCTGCGGCCGGGGGGCTCACGCCGTCTGAAAACGGCAAGTCAGTTCTTTTTTTAGGCTAAAGCCTCTGTTTAAATATTTTCTGTCAATTCCTATTCAAACTTTCCATCTGCGGCTTTGATTCGATTCAATTCCACATGCACTTATTTTTTAACACGTTGACTACGAAGTGGTACATATGCGTACCACGAAATGTATTTCTCCAGGACGTAGTGGTACATAATTCAGGTTGCCTAAAATTGGCCAAATCCGAGAACAAAAAAGGCCAAAAAAGACCGATAACTCAAAATATACTAGTTTATTTGTAGGTTCCACTATAAAAATTCCATTCATTTTCTTTTTGCAGTATTTGAATTGAATTAGGAAGAACCCCTATCATAAATTTTAGCCGGCCAACGCAATTGAGAAAAACTAAATCACGGAATTTGTCCGGAAAAAATAACCGTCTGGCAACCCTGTTTAAAAACAGTACAAAAAATGAAATAATAGTACAAGATGAAGCAATCGTAGTCAACGTGTTAAACATTGGCCAGCAAACGTCAAGTTATTTCATCTGTATTGAATGAATTTGAATGTTTAAATTCGCTGTCCTCTACCTCTTCTCATTTTGTCTTCTGAAAAGCTGAACATTTTTATCATTTCTAAAGAAAAATTGCCAAGTTAATATTTAGCTATCCCTATCATGATAACTTCCATTTTCTATTGTGTATTAAAATTTGCTACCATGAGTTGGGATTCCAGGCTAAACGCCACGGCTCAGTTATTATTAATTTTTAAACCTTTTTTCTAATGGAAAGGTCAGAAATTAAATAATAATTATATTAAACCACCTATTGCTTAATGAAACTCTAGAAGGATTAACCCTTTAGCGGGCAAGCATTGAAATATCCAGAAATTAAAATTTCAGAAACCATTTCAAGAAATTAAGAAGCATTATACAATATATTTATTTCTATGAATTTTTGCAAATTTTGCCTATTGAAGGTTTAAATCGCAATTGAAGAATTCAATAAATGCGATCAGTACACAAAATTTTTCTTTATAATTAAAATTCAGTTTATGCAAATGAAAAATTAGAAACATAAAAATTTAATTTAATTTAATTTAATCAAGTTGCCAAAATAAATAAATAAATATATTGATACTTCCACCTTTTGAAGAAAATGCGGAAAGAGCGTCAATTCCATTGTCCGAGTCAAAACCTTCATTTAAATGCTCATATTTTAATTTGTGGACTTTGCAGCTGGTGATGCTATAGATAGAACGAAGGTCAGATAATTAGTAGTTGACTGAGGCATTATATAAGGATGCCTCAAAAACAAACAGGAAGCTGTGGTGAGGCTTTTTGTGACGCGATTTCAAGTGATCATATATGGTAACTTACCCGTGAAAGGGATACACGGATTATTGCATGTTGAGGTATGAACCAACGTTTGCTGCTACTTGAAGTTAGCAAAACGTTGTTTTTTATTGCTTTCCTGCTCCAATATTCATAAAATTGCAGAAATTTCCACATTCCTACAACACTATTCTCTCCACATGTTCTTAAGTATTCCTCTCTTATTGAACCTTTGACTCTACTCCTAGATCTATGACGTTACTCTGAGATACGAGTATTCGAATACTGTATATGATATTACTATAAGATATTTATCGTTCTTGAGGTGCGCGCTGTGGAGCAACTCCCTGAAGCTGCACGCCGAGGAGGTGCAGAAGAGAGCCGCAGAGGCCAAGAAGACGCTCGACCCTGACGTGCAGCTCAAGCATGACCCAACCAAAGATGTGCCGCAGGTATTCCTTCGAATTCCCGCACACGATTTTATTATGATGATTGAAATGCATCTTTTTTGTATGGGTATGTTAATATGCGTTTCATTTTGATAGATGTTTCTATTTGTCTTTTCATGTATTACAATTTCACTAATTCAGTTGTTTTCTCAATTCTCTCATCACACTAACACATTTTAACATTAGGTACGCATTAGCCTTACATTTCTCGCACCACATTAACTACAATATTCTTTAAACACATTCTCTTCATTGTGAATGCAGCTCATATCATACTCCATTTTCAGGTTCCTGATTTCCTACAAAACCCGCACCCTTACGTGGTAGTCCCCCCACCACAAAGAGCCCACCGGCCCCCGGACGCTCCTGTCAACATCGTGGCGCGCCCTTTGAGGGCTGGCAACGCATTCCAGCTTGGAGTAGAAGGGCGCCGACACATGCACGAACCATTTGGGCCTTGGGGTCCTCACTACAACCTCATTGCGGACGATGCTGCCGTCTTTGGCGACCTCCTAGTATGGCGTGCTCTTTGCCTTTAATCGTGCATCGCGGTTCATTAGTAATTTATATTAGACATATAACAGTAATTATTAAGAGCTTTTCAGTGTTACTTTACTGGCGTCTTATCTCAGGCATCATTATATTGACGTTGATCGCCTTTGTTTATTTTATTGACGGAATCTCGCTGTTGTTTTACGAGGCTGTTAGTTAAGAACTGTTTTTTTCGTTAAACATCTTAGGAATACTAGCATACTGCAGCTCTCATTAGGTTTGACTCATTACCACGCTAAAAAACTGCCAATCATCATCCATCAATATTCCATCATCATTTGCTTAGAATTTCTCATGAAAGAATTGCGAATTCTTTTAAGGAGTTTAATCGTATCGTAGAAGAATTGTGTTGCACTTAAAGAAAGAGTAGCTAGAGCCACGATTACCAAACTTTTTAAACCATTTTGCCCCATACTGCATGCCATGATACACACATTTCCTTTCCCATTAAATGTTGTCGTGTTGCCAAATTAAAAATCTTGCTCCTACATTATTACCGAAAATTCAGCACCAGGTGGTAATTTCTTGTATTAAAATACCATTTTAGGAGCCACTGCCATTGAGTGTTCAATAATTACAATTCCATTTAGCAGGGTCGTGCTGCTCCTGAACCCATGATACTGCAGCCACAGCCTGCTCATCTGTATCATTTTCATCCTCCCTTCGTACGCAACCCTGTGGAACCACACAGTGAGTGCAATTTCCGGTCATCTGCTACGTCTATTTTGATTTTGCATTACCACCTAAATTGTTATGATGAAGTTTACAAAGCCGTTGTACGCTTACAACAGGATGGTGACTGTGAGTCGTTTATTCGAAGTCATGAAGAACTTTTATTGCAATAATTACCCATACAAATATACTCATTAGCTGCTTTGTAGTTTTTATCTTGTGATGTTTTCTTTTGTTCTCTATTTCGATCAGATTACGTACTTTTGATTTTATCTTACCAAGCTGTATTACTATTTCAGTGCCACTTCTATAATGTGTAATAATGTAAAAACTAAGATTGATTTTATGTAAACGTGCAATGTTATTCATGTTCTGATACTTGTACGCAAAAGTACCTCTTTTTATGTTGTTCATTAGTATATATCTTCTACTGAAGTGGAGCTTATGACACTTACCATCAGCACACTCTGGCCTTTGTATCTGCTATACCGTAAAATGGGGGTAACTTAGACCACTTTTTTTTATAAATGATGCAATTTTTTTACTAGCTAAATTAAACTTGAATTTAAACATGCAAAATACAGGTCTATACTCTAGCTTCACTCACCATAAATTGCTGGCTCCTGCCTCTTTTGGGGGCGACGCCCCCCATTTGCAAACTATGACACTTTCCTAAAATTTGTCATTTGCATATGTAACTAGAAGAGTTCTACTACAATGCATCAAAACCTTGGAGTTATTTAACCAAAAAATAAAAAAATTAGAGGGGGTACTCTGACAGGCTTTAAATAATAGCTTTTTTTCATGGGTCACATTTATAATTTTTTAACCTACTAGATATGCAAACTTTTTAAATCTTTCTATTGTGTTATGTAGCCTCAGTATTAGGCCTTTAATGCCCATTGACAAAATTTTTCTATGTACAATAGTTTTTGAGTTTTAGGGGTTTTTGTTGAAAAAACGAAAAGTGGTCTAAGTTACCCCGCCGGTCTAAGTTACCCCATTTTACGGTACTCAGGCTTCCACCAGCCTCATTTTAAATGACATTTTCTTTCTAGTGAAATGTCACCTTTAGAGGAAAGTACCTACAGTATTGTTTATATGAGGAACTTCTTACATCATTGAATAAATTTGTGAATGAAGAAGCATTTGTGAATTGAACTATTTTCAATCGAATGCCTCATTGATGAATATCGACTTCCTGTCAAGATGATTAAAACAAATGCCTGCTTAGATGATTAAAATATGCTCAACACTTATGCCTGTTTAAATGCTTAAAGGTTAATTAAAAATATGTCTATTAAGATGAAAAAAATAATTTAAACAGGACCTGTAGCAGCTGGCCGAAACCCCCCTCCACCTCCAGCCCACGGCGCTCGTGACCCTCCTCCCCCGCCACCCCCTCCTGCCCACGCTGGTCGACACCCTCCACCTGCCCACGGTGGGGCAGGGGCAGCCGCCATGGCAGCTGGTAATTGGTTACAGGTTCAGGTCAATCTCGACCACCGTAACCTACACAACCCAAGAGTGAGTCGTGGACGCGGCGTGTGTTCCGGCGTTGTGTCCTTACTGGTCCTGGTGCTGCTCACTCTCCACCACCTGCTAGTGTTACGCTACCACCTGCTAGTGTTCCACTACCACTGATAGTGTTCTGCTCCCACCTGCTAGTGTTCCACTACCACTGATAGTGTTCTGCTCCCACCTGCTAGTGTTCCACTACCACTGATAGTGTTCTGCTACCACCTGCTAGTGTTCCACTACCACTGATAGTGTTCTGCTACCACCTGCTAGTGTTCCACTACCACTGATAGTGTTCTGCTACCACCTGCTNGAAGACCTGTCTCTTATACACATCTAGATGTGTATAAGAGACAGCTCCTCCATCTTCTAGTGTTCCTCCAACATCTACTAGTGTTCCTCCACCATCTACTAGTGTTCCTCCACCATCTACTAGTGTTCCTCCACCTTCTAGTGTTCCTCCACTATCTACTTGTGTTCCCCTACCGTCTACTAGTATTACTCTACTATCTGCTATGGTTACTCCAGCATCACCTAGTGTACCTCTGAAATCGGCTGGTCTTCACCTACCATTTGCTAGTGTCCGTGCATCATCCGCTAGCGTCCTTTCACAATCTGTTAAAGGTACAGGGTTATTCTAAATGATGGACCCATTTTAATGAATTCGTATTTATTGAAGTGTAAATTAAAAATTAATAATTTATACACCAATGGACAGAGAAATAATAATTTTTTAACATATATATAAAAGTTCAATATGTCCCCCTTGTGCTACACGGCCAACATCTACAAGTAAACTCGTCCCAGACACGAAAAAACATAGCTTCTCTTACTGAGTGCACCGTAGCAGTGATACCATGCACAGATCAACCAGAGTTTCTGGTAGAGGCGGGACGTAAATAAACAGCTTCATTGACGTAACCCCATAGGAAATAGTTACATGGGATGAGATCAGGTGATCTCGCTGGCCAGAAGTGTTGAGCAGTTATTTGCTTGGGAAATAAAGTCTGTGTGAGCATATCTTCAGATCAGATCTTCATTTCCTATGCATCATAACCAACGTTCAGGAAGTGACTGATTAAAAAAGTCTTCTGCAACAACCATCGCTGCCCAATTCCCCTTTTGAATAGGTAGAAAAAGTGGATATTTCTCTTTCCATCGCTGCATAAATTATTTATTTTGAATTTATACTTCAATAAATACGAATTCATTAAATTGGGTCCATCATTTCGAATAACCCTGTATGTTTGTGTCACGGAATTTCCCGAGTATACTTGTGCCCGCTATACTTGAATACTCTGCACTGATTTTGACGGTATCGCAGTCGAGCGCAACGCCTTCGGATGAAATACCTGCATGTTATTTCCAAGTACCTGCTCGGTATATGCTAATACCTGCAAGGCTGACGCACACGTTCACTATTACGATGTGATATGCTTGCTGCATGTTGTTAGCCTCATGTGACACTTTCTGCCTAGTCTGCTCGCTTCTCCTAGTAGTCGTTTCTCGGATTTTAGATCCGAGAATTTTTCTTAAACTATATATTTTTGAAAATTATTTGACTCTAATTTTGATTGCAATTTTCTATATCAGAGTATCCAACCTAATCGTTGCTTTGCATCTTTGCCTTCAACTGTGCTTGTCTACAGGGACGGTTGGGCGGCCAGTGAAACATATAAATACTAACCGCCACTGATTATAATCTTGTTATTGGCCGCGTGCCAAGGGTTAGGGGCCATCTCATTCCAAGTATTACCTAGATATTAATTAATTCAAATGCAGTGAGTTCAGTGCTGGGATTATAGAGAGAACCGAAGCGTGTTGGTGAGCATTGCAGAACTCTGTATGAGATCGGGTCATTTGAGAATCTTAAAGTAGTTTATTTCTTTATAACGTATTGACTGTGAATGTTAACTCTCACTTTACTGTTGAATTTTTCTGCAGCATTACTTGATCTACTTTATCTTATCTCGATTTATTCACTAAATATGAACTTTAGCCTTCGCACAAATGCCTCCTCCACCTCATATCTTCTGAATTTATTCCCTCGACTCGCACCAAAGCCTCCACTAAGTACTTGGTGCCCGCAGGTGGAGGTGCAGGCAGGCGGTGGAGGTAACAACCACTGGGAGATCCAGTACAACGTGCTACCTCGTCGCGCCCCCCAGCCTGTCAATGAGCTGCCTGCGCGACAGCCTCCTCCAGCTGAGGCCTTCGCTCCTGACGTGTTCAGGCGTATGCCTCCAATTCCTACTGCTTTTCACCCTATGAACAATTTGGCAAGAGAAGCCGCTGGGCGCCCTGCGCGTGTGCACCGTCCTTACGCTGCTGTTGTACCCCCACCTATGCCCCTCGATCAGCTGGATGGAGACGCCAGGCAATATTTATTCGGTGATTTGGTTAATGATAATAATCTGGAGGGTCACGCTGTTGTGTATGAGCCGAACAACGCACTAGCTCGACCTGAACGGCCCAACAGAGCCGCGGAAGAGCGCGCAAATGAGGATGGGAATGGAGAAGCTGCTTTCAGACGTCTGCTTCGAGAGCTTGATCATCCCGAAAACGACATTATGGACATGTTTTGAATTTATGGTTGATGTTTCCACGGTAAAAGATTATTCCAAAAAATGTGTCCTGTTTTACGAGTTTTATCGCATCTCTCCAGTAATTTTCAATATTTCAACCACAATTTTTTTAGTATTGGGCATTTAGCTTAACACGTGAAAATTTTGGGACCGAGCAACCAATATCATAGTCAATGGACCTACTGCGTTTCTACATTCGTGAATATTTGGCTGTATAGAATCTAAAGATCTCTGCAGTTCATTTCCTCTAAATTTATTGGGTATATTTATCACTCAACTCAATTTTTACCATACAAATGGAAGACCAAGTTGAGTCTTCGCTGGTGGTTTAGTTCATGTGAAGACCGTGATTATTTACAGACGCATACGACGGTTTAATGTTTCAAGTAGAATATCATTTCCTCGAGATGAATTATCGAAATTATCAAATTTGATAATGGGAATATGAATCCATCTTGCATGTTAAAACACTGATTGTTATTTAGTGGAACTGTGAATAAAGTGGAGTTTTTTTTTTCACTTGGGGCAGCAAGAAGAACATGGTGAACTAGCCAAGCCTGTCACACAATACGCAGATTGAGTATCAGGCTAAATCCTACTTAGAATTTAAGAAAAAGTTAAGCTACCTGGGGAAATTTATGTGTCACATTCTCTAGAGGTAGATTTAATGTAAATATTATGAGAAGGTTATGTTGGTTGATATTATGAGTGTGTTTTTCGGCAAGCTGGCAGCTTCGGGTAACTGCTCAAGTTTTGATCTCTACGCTCCTGTAATGCCTAAACCATCGAACATTGTAACCTGCAAATATTCTGCGCTTACCGTCTCCTATAAATCCTTTTCTCATTTTCTTTGACAGTTTTCATCAAGCAAATTTTTAAACGCTCAAACTTTTGATAGTTCCAAAATTTTGTAATTTTGGTATAAGGAGTACTGGACTGGTGTAATTGTGGTGTAAACCAGTACAGCAAGCTAGTGACCGCATTTTTGGTATTTGTCAGTGATAGACGATGTCACGTTTTGACGTGCAGGTCATCCGTTAAGATTTTCCAGTGATAATTTGTTTCATCTAGACTCTTCCACTCAGGAATGTCTCGTGGGCATTAGTATTGGATGCATAATATTTATATGCTTTAGCTCTGCATGTCCGTTCATGGACATACCGCTAGCGTCGTAGGGATAGCGATGATTCTAGTGCCTATCTCTGTTAGTCATAATTTTGTTTCATCATATCACTTGTTATATTTCTTAAATGTTGCGTTGCTTATTGCAGATTTTTTTTCTCTCTATTTGTGTACGGAGGAAAAAGAAGCACGGGATGGATTTTTTCTTTTGTGATTCTTCATTTATTGGAACATGCGTGTTCGTCGATGGTTGCTCATATCAACATGCATCATTTGATACATATATTTTTGTGTTAATAGTTAAAGTTCGTTGAGAATGCTATTAGCTTTATGCCTATTAATCCAAAGGAAATAATTTACTTCTCTTTATAAGAAGATCAGAAATTAAATACTAAGTGCAGTTCATATCCATGGCTTCATTTTAATTTCGTTTTGTCTCATCTTGCAGTCCCTCATAGACGTCTGTGATGTGTACAGTAGTGTAAGATTGATGCATTCATCCCCGCAAATCGGTTTTAAGTGACTGCGCATCGATGTATAAAGAATAAAGTGCGATAAGGGTCACAGTTTTATTTTTCTGCCATTTTCATGGGTTAAAAGTTACCCTCTTGTCCGGTTAAGCTCGGCAGGGCAAGTATTTACCGCAGGAGGGCCCTTCTGGTAGGGCAGGGGAAATGAGGCACTCCCCCGGTCTCTAGCCTAATTGAATATTACTGCGTAAACACGAGTTTATCCATAAGACCCCCCTTCGAGGTAACGCGTACCCAAAGCTAGTGATGCTAACGCCGCTTTTTTTCCTTCCAGCTTCAGTGGGTGTGTCACTTGAGACCTTCCGCACCCTTGTGGGTGATATACAATTTTATTTTATTTATTCAGAAATTTGCCATAGTTGAGTTCCATTACCTTGATTATGGCTGTGTTCAGACTTGACTTCCTGCTTATTACACTAACACTACCTGCCTTGTGAGTGATGAGCGGTGATATCATCGTCATGCTCCTAGTACTACTGGAACCGGATTAAAACCTGACCTACTATTAAAACCTACTACCTATTGCTCCGCGAGTTTTTTTCTCTGACTACAACGCTAACGAAGAATCGAGCCATGGAACCATTATTTCTCATATTCTTGTTCTTATTAGACATCGCCCATGTTGTGTCTTTTTGAGAAGAAATAAATCGTTATGTTTTTATTTTGAATTATTTTAATAATGGTTTCCATTATAAAACTTTTATTGATTGAAATATAAATTCTCATCATGCAGGAAGGAAGCACAGAAACTCGTTGATAATATTACTTTGCTGTGGTTTCTTTAACATATCGTACGTGTTTATAACATCTTAGGGCTGGTACAATAGGTGTAATTTGTGTGTTGGTTGCTCGTCTGCTCGCTAGCACCATGACTGACAACATCCCAAAGGACCTCCGCTACCTGCGTGCCTGTATGGTCTGCTCGCTCGTCAAGGTGTGTGCATTTTGATCATATTCATTCATTATTTTCGAACATTAATTATCTTGTACTTATTTTCCAATAAAATTATTTTTTTCTTCCTGATTTTCAAATTATTATGTTAGTACACTATTTTCTGTTCCATATTTTGATAACGACTGGGAAAATTCACATGTATTTTCAATCAATAACTCGATCTGTCCAAACGTTGAAAGTGTCTTTAATTAGATTCAATATGACATTCCAAGTTTTTGAATATATACAATATTTTGATGATATTTGTTACAGACAATGGATATGTTTGAGACAGACGGCTGCGACAACTGCGATGACTTTCTCAACATGAAGAATAACAGAGATAACGTATACGATTGCACGTCTAACAACTTCGATGGGTGAGCAATATTATGCTTATGCATCGTGAATTGTATACAAATCCAGTTATATGTCCAATTGACAATTTTCCAATTTATTCCTGTATAACCGCCATCTTGATGTAAAATTTGCGAATGTTCTGGCATTATGTCTGATCCCAGAACTAAATGTTGGTATGAACTGTACAGCGATCTATTTGAATTGTTTGCAATGTCGATTTACTCCAGTAATGATACCTTCCCCTTTGTCCATGACGGCAGTATCATTAATGATCTAGAGAACACATTAACAAAAAATTATCCTGTGTATGTCCTATTTGCCTAAGACAGTTTAATATATAATAAATTAGGTATTGGTTGTACATGCACTAGGCATGGCAAATTGGCCGACAGTTTAATATATAACAAAATTGGTATTAGTTATACAAGCACTGGGCTCAGTTGACATGAATATTTAACCATCCATCTCAGATTTCATGATTTTTTTTTTTCAGACTGATCGCTCTGATGACGCCTGACGACAGCTGGGTGGCGAAATGGCAACGGATAAGTGAGAACTGTTGTGCTTAGATACTCATATATAAAAGTTACTTCTACTCTTTGGCTGAGTTATTAAGACATCAATATCAGTAATAGTCATTTTATCATTGGATGACATAATATAGAAAAAATATTAATACTTTAAAGGGGTGGTCATGTCATATGCTTCGAGACGTCATTGGCTATCACGTATAATTTGCTGATATTGTGGTCGAGGTATAAATTATAGTGATTATTGTTAACGAATCTCCTTGTGTTTGTTAGGTTTCAGAGTTCTGAATTCTGATGTCTTTTCTTACTGAATTTTCTTTTATGTATGTCAGATCGGTGCGTGAAAGGCATCTATGCTATATCAGTGACGGGACGCTTGCCGCCCACCATCATCAGGGAGATGAAGTCCCGAGGCATCAAGTATCGCTCCCGGGACATCACCACCAGATAGAACCACCAACATCACCTCCATGTCATTCGTTTTATTTTGTTTACGTCAATTTTTGTGTAGAATACAAGTTAGATATACGTGTGCTACGCTGTCGGAGTGTTACCTATGTAATGACAGCGACAGTTTATAATTAGGATGCAATTCTTTGAAAATCCCCACAAAGTTTAGCAACAATAAGTTATTAGCATGCGATTTTTTCAATTTGAATCGGTTTACAATTTGATGGATTATAATCAGGGGGCCCATTTTTTTGGAATCCGAGCAAAGTGTTCTTTCTTGAATATCTTTAATATATTATCAACTTCCCATCATTTTGTTTCTAGTTGGTTGCCGCCTCTTGTCTTCCGTGTTTATTCAGATTCTTGTGTCGAAAAAATTGCACTTGCACACAATTTTCTCTCCATGCATTCATCATCTTCCAAGTTTTTTCCCCCCATTACTGTTGAAAATAACTAAGCCTTCATCGGATTTCGAAACTAAGCAAACTCCTCATGTAATCTAATTTACTAATAAGTTCTTTGCGATGTGGATAGACTTATTTAAATTTTCGGCAATGATTGAATTCATGCCAAATTTTACTCGAGTTATACAATTGTGATAGTAATAAATTTCTGAATCCTCTCGTCTTGAGTCGTATCAATGAGTATTTATCGCATGAAATGTGCTGTTCGTCGACGAGTTTATAAGCCGGGTTATCGAATTTTATTCAATATTTCACGAGGAAGAATGGTTTGATGACCTCAAATAATCGGTCCTTAAGAGGTTACCTAGTGAAATGCCGTCACATTAAGTGCAAGAAATACAGGGATGTAATATTTTTAGAGAAAAGAATATTATATATGACATTAATGATAGTCACTGGACCCGAAGAGTACGACAAAAATAGGCATTGAAGTTTTCACTGGCTTATATGGTGAAAATATGTTACTGGAGACTGACCGAGTCGTCCAGCAAAATCCACAACAGGCGTTCACATCAAGATTATTCGCTATGGCATTTGTAATGTTGACTTCCACCCCCTACTACCGCAGCACCGCTGTCAGTTGATATCTTATTTCATGATCTTGGATTCTTGATGTTATCTGACATCTGTAAATAAGACTGTTATTGTTGCTCAAAGTTTCGCACTGTGAACAATTTTCAGCATTTGTGCCGTGTGTTTGATCAAATCTATTAAACATATTGTCGCAGAATCTTAAGATTCTATTAGTATTAGTGACTGCCTAATCATTCTATATTTCTATTAGTGATTTATTTGTCAGACTATAAATTAGCTAGGTAGTCTGATTCTATTTGAAGTTTAAGGTCTGTTGAAATCATGAAATGCACCCCATTTAATGATTTATGATTTAGTCCGACTCAGTTACAGTTAAGTAGGCTACACGGGTTACGGGTACAACTACACCATATTTATGAGAGATCTCGTTGTGAGTCTGGGTATAATTTTATTTCATTTAAACTTGCACATACTTTTTGTTGCTCTATATTTTATTCCTGTAAGTTTGTAACTCCTAAAATTTATTTTGATCATACAAACAAATGTCTTGGCTTTTAAATTCTGAAGTTAGTTAACTTAGTTTAATACCACATTTTCTTGGTAACTTGGTTAGTTGGTTGCATTATTAAACAAAATTTAGAAATAATTTGAAATTTTTATTAGGTGAGGACTGACACTAAGTCATTCTGAATGACGGATTGAGAGTGTATTGTAGTATTGGTGTATCATCACTGGAAACATAGGTATAGGTACTAGGTAGTAGGTAGGTAGGCTACCACCTAGTGCACCTAGGGTAAATGCGGTATATTCCAACATCGTAGGTAATTCCGTCACTTCTCTAGTTTTTCCTTTATATTAAGCTTTGTTTTAGTTCCATGTGTTCATTGATGGTTGAAATGGTGACGTCATACATTTGCATAGTGGCAAACCATAGCTTTTTTAGAATCAGTTCATTTTTAATTTCCTCATTTACTCGAGATTTAAACCACTTTCTAATGTATGATAATGCTGGTATCCAGGATACTTTACTGGTCTACTTATGACTCAAAAATGAACTTGAGGGAGAGTATAAAAAACCTCTCTGCTTTGCCACTATGTAACATTTGCGTGTCGAAATACTGCAAAAACACTAGGTCTTGGCCATCTATTGGGAAAATATTGAGATCCAAAGAGAGACACTGCATGCCACCTGGTGAGATCATCGAAAAATGTGTCAAATTTGACAGTTGACCTTGCTCTACCAAATAGTGAATAACTGTTTTTAAATAAATTAATAGATGATTAAGTTGAGTGATGGATTTAGACCCATCAAAACTAATTCCGACACAACTTGAATTGGACACACACAGATCGTTCCAAGCTTTGTACAAAAATTGAAATTTGCTTAATTAAAAGCCTAATAGCTGTTAATTAAAACGTAATTAAGTACCATAAAATGGGATAACTTAGACCACTTTTTTTCTTATAAATGATGCCATTTTTTTACTAGCTTAATTAAACTTGAATTGAAACATGTAAAATACAGGTCTATACTCTAGCTTCACTCACCATAAATTGCTGGCTCCTGCCTCTCATAGTCTTTATGTAATTTCAAAAAAAGTGATGGTCTTTGTTACCCCAGCTCTTGGGGTAACTTAGACCGGGTGGTAAAATCAATTATTTTTTTTTTTGGTAAAATAACTCCAAATAACTCCAGGTTTTGGTGCATTGTAGTAGAACTCTTCTAGTTACATATGCAAATGACAAACTTGAGGAAAGTGTCATAGTTTGCAAATGGGAGGCGCCACCCCATAATGAGGGAAATGTGACTACCTAATGGCAGCCCCGATGGGTAAATATTGACTGGCTTGGATATTAAGTTAAAATTACCATATATAAGACTCTGTAGAGTCTGAAACATAAAGAAAAAACATAAATAGGCTGACAAACATAAAATATGTTATATATGGTAATTTTATATTAACTCCCAAGCCAGTCTATGTTACCCCATCAGGGCTGACATTTGGTGGTCTAAGTTACCCCATTTGCAAACTATGACACTTTCCTAAAATTTGTCATTTGTATATGTAACTAGAAGAGTTCTACTACAATGCATCAAAACCTGGAGTTATTTAACCAAAAAATAAAAAAATTGGAGGGGGTACTCTGACAGGCTTTAAATAATAGCTTTTTTTTGTGGGTCAAATTTTTAATTTTTTAACCTATTAGATATGCAAAGTTTTTAAATCTTTCTATTGTGTTATGTAGCCTCAGTATTAGGCCTTTAATGCCCATTGACAAAATTTTTCTATGTCAAATAGTTTTTGAGTTGTGGGGGTTTTTGTAAAAAAATTGAAAAGTGGTCTAAGTTACCCCATTTTACGGTAGTGTTCAATATTCGTTAGTGTTCTAATTCAAAGCCGTGTTGTATCCCAATACAGCTCACACAGCAAACGGAATTCGAATATGTTGATGTTGGCAATAATCGGCATTACGTATCAGTTAAATTTGAAGCGCTGACGCAATATGACTCACCACGTGTCAAATATTGCCACACAAAGTGACGGAATATAGGGATTTGGTAGGTTTCCATTCTAAAGGCTTTTTAATAAATATGGCAACATTTTGTGACGTTTCATCGTTGCTGACGCGTAGTGAAGTGTTTTGAGACGAGAGTCACGTGAAGGCAACAGAACTTATGTAACGCATACGGTTTTTTTATAGTTTTTCATTTCTCGATGCGTCCTTAATGTGTCGGAATATACCGCGCTAACCCTACCAGGCTACCAGGTTAGTACCTACTACTGCTACTAGGCCTAACTAATAACTAGGGTTAGAAATGCCCTCATAAAATGTAGCAGCAAAATTAGGTAGCCTAGCTATAGTAAACTGCAAAACCTTCCTGAACTAAAGGATAACCAGTTAAAAATTTCAAGTCCTAGCCTACATGAAAATCAGTGGGGATCTTTGTGTCAGACTTTGTCATGTGCAAACAAAGTCATTTATTCAATACATTATAACAAGGTGTGTGTCAGTGTGTGGAGTGTGGTCACTCATGGTCATGGAAAACCTGGAATGCTGGAAAGTCATGGTATTTGATTTTTAATTTTCTAGGCCTCAAAAGTCATGGAATTTCATTTCAGGCTATGGAAAATCATGGAATTTGTAAATTAATGAAGAAAAAATGAAGTGTTTTTCCATGCTGTGTGTAATGTGTATTAACCTACCGTAGGTATTAGGGAATAGGGTATTAATGCCAAGGTTCCATTTAGAACCAGCAAAAAAAATGGATTCGTAATAAAATTGTAAGATCAGATAAATATACAAATGGATGAGGATGTGTAGGTTTGATACACATCTTGTACATTACCAATTCACCATCAGTACATGTTGGGTTCTGCTGCACTGTCAAATACACTCTTTTCATTCAGTTAACATTCAAAGATTAGTAAAAAAAGGTCATGGAAAAGTCATGGAATTTTTTTTTCTAAATACTGGTACTGTGGTAACTGGTATGCACCCTGTTAGAAGCAAGAGGTCACTAAACAAACTGCCTTTTACTGGCAACAATAAAATCAATCTATCAGTTGCAGGCTAAAATTGGTTGTTTACCTGGACATTGTATAAAAGCATGCCTGCCATATGCTAAATAAAATTGGTGATTCAAAATCACTTGTTCTATGAAATTGATTGTACTCCTTGAATTGCCCATTTGACCATATACCATGCATGATTGCATGGTATGGTACACCATACAGCTACCTATATAATACACATGCCACACCATGACACCACTACAGTACTTTCTCATAGTTTGCATCCTCAAAGCTGATCTTGAGCTTTTAATATTATTTGCAATGTGATTGCTAGTCTTTTGCTTAAATTGCTTTGTGGCTTGATGAAGGCTGAAGCCTGGTTGTTCCCTGCAAGGTGAAGATTTAGGGACAGTTTGCTCGTGCTCATCAGGTACTTGAGTAGCTTTTGACAATAATCCTTAGGTCCATAGGCTGAAGTGGGTAACAATAATAATGCTCACCTCCATTGCACTCAAAACAGTTTGGCAGCCAGGCTCCATAACATGATTTCCATGCACTCTATTAAACTAAACAGACTTTTTTATGCCATACTGTTTGGCAGCTTTGAACATCCTTATTTCCTTCTCTCTTATTTAATTTACAATTCTATTTAATTCACCATCCACCTGTATAGGTACGTACATTTTTGAAATATCATTTTTTACCATTTTTTCATGGATTTTTTAGAGCTAGTAAATGTATGATTTCTTAATTTCCTTTATGCTACATAGATAGGAAAAATGTTGATGTTTATGCCACTATTTTTAGTTTTGCAATATTTTAATTTGTTTTGCTGCTATAACATTTTTACACGGTGGTAGAGGACTGTCCCATTTACCCCACCTATCCCTTATTATACCATTTGATGGTAGTTCATTCAGGTGCAGATGCCCTTACGGCCAATTTGTGATATTGGGCAGAATTGTGGGCTAAATTTAATTTTGTAATTAATACCATGACCGGCGGTGAAATTACAGGCAAAGTGTGATAAAATCACAGATGACTGACATTAGAATCACAGGCAACTGGTGATAGAATTAAAGAGAAGTGTGGTAAAATAACAGATGACTAGCAGTATAATCACAGACTGGTGGTAGAATCATAGGCAAAGTTCAGGCAGCAGAATGAATCACAGACGACTTGTGATAGAATTACAGGCAACTTGTGGTAGAATCACAGGCGACTTGTGGTAGAACCACAGACAATTTACAGTTGAAGCGCAGACAACTGGCAAGACTTGGCAGTGAAATGAGTCTTTTGACAAAATGCCAAAATGCTGTGGTAGTATCCATAGTCTCAATAGTTGTGCTGTTAACTGTGGTGTATTGGATAGTCTCCCCAACCGGAACAGTAATGGATACAAAAAAAAATATCATGGCCCCTTAAACTTTACTCAGGTTCAACACAATATAATGATTACAGGTATGGCAAATGAAAATTTTCCATTACTAGATACGCATGAAGTTACTGACCTAAGGCACTGATGGCCAGAGTTAGAGTGGTCGGTGACCGGTAATGAATTCAGATTATGGCACTTATTGCAAATACTACCCTAAAACTGACTAGAAATGTCCCATTTGGCTTTATCCTTGCATTCTCCACTCTGCAGGTTATGAAAATGGCCTGGGCCTGACTACACCGTGTGGCATAGGGCAAATGCTCTCTTCTCTCTTAAAATTTATTATCCTTGGTCAGTCACTGAGTGAATTTTTCTTCACCAAAAATTATCATACCAGATGCATCTTATAACACTTGGTTTGACCATACAGTATATAGGTAGTAAACTCAAATCAGATTCTAGTTATTGTTCTAATCTCTCACTCTAATATTGTTTATTTTTTTACTTTTGTGTGCTTTATTTCTTGCCAAGGTTACATCATACTTATCATAGCTGGCATATCTACCATGAGATCTCATCGAGAGAAGTTTTCAAATAGAATTTTCTAATCAAGATATTTTTTTCAGTTTTCTTCCTCTCTCCAACAAGAAAAATTATTATTAGGTGTAACAAAAAATATGAACATTCATTGATTCCAGCAGAGCTAGGTTTTTGAGGTCTACCATTTATCAGTAGTTAGCTATTTATTTTTTAGGCCTAGAAAATGACAAAGACCTCATTTTATTGTTAGTATGTTAAAGATGTCAGTATGTAGGTATAATTGTTATCTCCTATATTCATCATGAAAAATGTTTTTATGCATTTCATCATAGTTGATACATACTGTAGTACTTGTATTTTTTCAGAAAATTTAATTTGTTAATTTTGAAGATGACTTCATCATTTGAAAAGGAAAAGAATCGACTTATTCAGGAAAAATGTCAAGCTGTCCTAACTGAATTACTTAAGGATGATGACAATAAATATTGTGTTGACTGCGATGCCAAAAGTAAGTCACCCTTCTTTGCTAAACCATCTGTTGTTAGAAAATACTATAATACAAAACATTAGTGCAGGATCAATAATCATATTTTTGTATGGAGCATGCAAGCTTTTGAAGTCCTTAGAATAAGTGATTGATATGGGAATACCTAATTCTTAGTGTTTACATTTCCTTTAATGCTGATGCAACTTGATATTTAGCTCCACGATGGTCATCTTGGAACCTTGGAATCTTTGTATGCATTCGCTGTGCTGGCATTCATCGTAATCTGGGAGTGCACATCTCACGTGTGAAGAGTGTTAACTTGGATACATGGACTCCTCAGCAAGTGGTGGTGAGTCTTTCTTACACTCACAATTCTTTGTTATGTAAGTTCCTTCTAGCATTACTGTGGTTATGGTAGATTAAATGTCACTGAAATATCAATGAGATTTTATTATATTTCTCATCTAATTAATCTTGGTAAAATATTATTTACATTCTTATATTGTTAATCTGCTTAAATTGCTAGTAGTTCACCAAGAATTAAAAAACAAAGAAAACATTTATGAAATTCACCTTATTTTTTTGCCAAGGCTTCCATTGAAAATACAGTGAATCTGTTTGGGCATTTTCTTTGCTTTAAAATTTATGTATTGCCTGATGTGTAAATTTGTATTTAAATGTGATGTTTGTTGGCATAGTGCATCCAGCAAATGGGCAACAGTCGAGCGAGAGCTGTTTATGAAGCTAACCTGCCGGACAGCTTCAGGCGACCCCAGACTGACAGTGTGCTAGAGCAGTTCATCAGAGCAAAGTATGAGGCCAAGAAATACATTGCAAGAGAATGGGTCCAACCCCCTCTTCCTACACCTAACTGGGAGCAGCTCATTGAGAAGCAGCTTAAAAACAAAAGAAAAGACAAGAAAGTATGTTTTTAATTGATGCAAACACCAACTAATTAATTATTTTGTATCTATTATCTATCATATTTTTTTTAACTACTGCTGTGTTAATTTAGACTTGATGAAAATTTTTTGTTTCTTTCCCACTAACTTGGCTGCAAAATATACAGTGAAATCATAATTTGATGCTAAACCACTGTATTAAATACTCGTTCATTTTATTAACTATATTGACTTATTTTGCAGAATAGCATAGGTAGTGTAGAGCTACCCACTTCCATCTCAAGCAACGTCTTGAGTAGCAAAAGCAATGGCACATCTCCTAAACCAATACCCAGAGCACCAGGCTCCTCGTCGTCCAGGACGTCCTCAGCATCAAACACCCCTTCAACCGTGCCCAAACTCCCTGCTTCTGCCACTCAGGACTTACTGGGCTTAGGTTAGTAGATATAAATTGAAACATCAATATCATGTGTTAGTGTATCTTGCAATTAGTAGTACCTACTCAAGATCTTCTAATGCATTCTGGTCAGTTATTTTGATTGGTAATTTGTTCAATTGGATGATATATGTCTAGATTTTTTTACAGTTACTGTTTTACCTGTAATTTTTTTTTCTTTTATTTAAAGTGAATCATCTCTGAGGTAGGTAACCAACTTTGTTTCAAATTTTTTTATGGAACCAAGCTTTTGATCAAATTATTCAACTCCTGAGCATCATCACCTTAACTATTTCTATCATTGACATACATATATTTACCTTAAAATTGTGTAAATGGTTAAAATGTCATATAATAATCCTGTATTTTTATTTTTGCATGAATGCCTTTAGTAATCGATACATTTTTTATTAAATTCAACTTCAAAATCAATAAAGTCATTACCATGATTTTGATTTCACTTGCAGCCATTTATTTGATAACATGCATCACTCAATTTGCAATCATTTAATCGGCAGATTCGCCGGCATCAATCCAGAATAGTGGCAGCAAGGTCGAGTCCAGCGATCCATTTGGGGAGTTTCTCTCGGCGCCCGCGTCTGTCGCGGCCACAAGCGCTGCTGCTGAAGGCAATGTTACTGCCACGGCTGATGCTTCTGGCTCAGCAGCTGACGCTGTCAGAGAAGAAGAGGAGAATTTCTTCAATCAAAAGGCTCCCGATGGAGAGAAATTAACCAAAGACTCCATTTTGGCTTTGTATTCTAAGAATGCATCCCAGGGGGCCCAGGGCTCTGGTATGAGCTCGCAGGCAATGATGCAGATGACGTCACACATGAACCCACAACTGAACCCCAATATGAACCCACAACTGAACCCTCACATGCAGCAACACATGATCAACATGACTCAGCAGCAAGGTAAGTTAAAACTTAACATTGCCACTGCCAATTTAGATGCATAATATCTCGGTACATTCACTTGTTAGCTTGTTCTTTGTATTTTCAATTCACCCATTATATATGCGCATTCTCTTAACCTAATCGGAAGAACAATGATTATATAAATTTTTTTCTTGTGTTAAGATCTAACCAAGGCAAATCTAACCACCAATAATAGTTAAAGTTTAGCTCCCCATTTATCTGTGTTAACTTGTTATTGCTTAATCAATCATGTGTTTTCCAATGCTGATCATAGTATTCTTGATGTTCATGCATACATTCCAAATCATCGCTCCTTGCTGGTAGCATTGACTGTGAAAAATTACGTGTCCTAATAATAACTATTAGGGGGACCCAAAATAACCAGACTGACTCAGCGGTGGGCAAAGTTTTGGGAGTACCACATTCTCCTTGTATGAGCGTATGCTACTTACATATTCATCAATTAATATATCACGCATTGCTGTCCTAAAAAGCCGTGTTCCACAATCGCACATTTTTTTGTGACATGTCTTCTGCACCCTTGTCATTTTTTGATGATGGCCGATTTTCATTAGCAACATGCTGCCATCAAATTTTGCTTTCTTCTGAGAAAAGGAGGTAAGGAACTGCCAAAGACAACCTACAAGGATAATGCTATGGGGAAAATATAAGTTTTTGAGTGATTTTCCCGCTTCAAGAAAGGGGAAATGTCAATTGACGACCAACCTTGCTCAGGTCATCATTTCACTTTCCGCACTGAAGAAATGTTGGAAAAATTGGGCACCTAATTCGTGAAGATCGACGTAGAAGTATTGACAAAATTGCGGAATAATCAACAAGTCCAGCTTATGAGCTGACAGAAGATTTAAGATATTTGAACAAGTCTTTAAAAATCAGTCCGGTTTTTTTGGCCCAGGCCCCTCTCACATGTAACAGAATTTTCTAAGACATATTCTCATTCTATCTCAGACAAAAAAAAATTTCTTCTTACATTCATTTTCTAATCACAGCTACCTTTTTTGGCGCATTTTCTCATTTAAGGAAAAATGCACTATTGTGCTCGCTATGTCTGTCTGTCTGTCCGTCCGTGACTTCACGTTTTCGTCGACGAAAAAATGCGCTCTGTGTCACTCACTGCAGTGAGTACTGAGTTATATTTTTTTTGTTATTAATCCTACCAAGGATAAAAGTAGAATATGTCAGGTATGAATTTGATTCATTATTTCCTATATTTCGTTGCAGGATATTTTATTGGTGGTGTAGGAGTACAGCATCAGCAACATCAGAACGGAGCTGCTGTTCATCAAAATATGATGTTCTATCCTCAGCAGCCGGTGAGCTAATTAAGATGAATCTGTTTAATTGACATGAAATAATCTGATGGATTTTAGTCAACTCCTGTAAGAATTGGCTATTTGTGTTCTTAAAATTTAGGGTTGGCTTCTAATAAGCTAAGGAATTGTGCTTTAATTTAAGAATCATGAGTTCTCTACAAAGAAAAATCTGTTAAAATTCGTATATGATATGAGTTGCGTACAAAATAATATTCATCATGTTGACAATATATTGTTGCCAAAACCTACACTCAGAGAAATTACTGGCTCAAATTGTCCAAAAAATGGACGATTTTTCTCCTAATTCGCGCCGTCCACATATCAAGACGTGTCATGATGCATAATTCACTAGTGAAACCTTTTTTCCACTCCTTATATTTAAGCTGTAAATGGGCAGATTTTTAAATAATTTCTATGTAATTTCGTTACATGATAATGACAATGTCCAGGTTATGTGCGGTGTGGGCGGTCAGATGATGCAGGGGCAGATGATGGCTCCAGGCGTTGCTCAGGTTCAAGCTTCTGGGATCCAAATTTCTGCCGCCAACCCATTCGCCCAGGTACCTAAGTAATACCAAGTCATTGCTCCTTAATGTTACAGTTTCATGCCATCTTATTATCAAGTTTTGTTTCAACAGCTCTTCTCGAGTGCGATGTTACACCTGGAAATGAGTGAGAGTTTGTCCACATAACGACGCAATTTTCACCTTTGTGTGGCTTATGCACCCAATTTGGCCCGGCAAAAGGGCGTATCAGTGTTATGTGCAGCAAGTGTGTCACTATTTGGACAATATAACCCATTCATTTTTTCTGACTTTAGGGCCCAAAGAAGCAAACCTCTGCCGAAACAAAATTTAGAGACACGCCAGATTCTAATTTGAGTAAAGAGGAGCTGAGTAATCTCGAAATTTTGTTTATGACGTAATAGATTTGAAACTGAATAATATCATTATTATTTTTTGTGTTGATTTTCTAAAACGTTCTCCATGGAATAGTTCTCTTTTCTTTATCCAAATACTATATTTTCTGTGAAATTTGCCACACGTAGCGAACGTATTTTATCTTTATTTCATTGAGTTTTCAATTTTTTACGCAGATGCAGTGCCAGATGGGTCAGGTGCCAAGCCAGCTGAGTCAACTACAAACTCAAATGAGTGGCTTACAGTTGGGCGCTGGTAGTCCCATGATGGGCATGCAGCAGCAACAACAACCAATAACTCAACAGCAACAAATGCTTCAACAACAGCAATATCAAGGAGCCTATGGAGCAATGCAGCCGCCTCAGCAGCAGAGTAGCGCCGTAATGTCCGGCAACCTGTGGCAGTAATGCTTGCCTTCTTCTAGCGCGACAACATATGAGCAGCTCGCTGGGAATCTTGCAAGCTCTCCGAGACTCCAACACTTCTTATACAATTGCATTAATTATCAAATGACACCGTCTACCCCACACTTCTCCATGTTAATGATTTCTACTAGGTACTCGATTGTATTCTATGGGATTTCATAACGAGGAAAATCTTATGAAAACGCTGATTGTGTTCACATTATTTCAAGAATAAGCATAACAATATTCATAAAATAGTCATATTCAATCATCTAGCTCTAAATTGGGAGAATTTTAACCACAAGCTCATCTTTATTCACTAGTTAAAGGTTGAACTTCAGTGTTTTCTCAATTGAGGCCTTGAACACATCTAGAGTCCGTCCCATGGCTTATTAAATTTAAACTTCCAGATCTGTCAATTGTATGAAGCTTCATAGTTGCGTAGACGCGTTGTTGGTATAAACATCCATTAACTTACGAGTGTTGTGGATGCTATGTACTCTCGCTTCAGCTCCGCAAATCTCGAGTTTGATTTTCGACGTCATACTAAAATTATTTCAACGAATGAAATTACTGAGAAGTGAGTTACGATGGAGCTTTCTTCTGAAACTTTATTCATGTTTTCAGATCACAACTTCTGTATAAGATTTAGGAAAAATAATGAAAAGTTTGATACTGTATTCTCGGAAGTCGCTTACTAGATTGTCAGGTGAGGCTTTATATCGTTGTCCCAAATGTAAATGTTGCTGTTGTGTAGACTGAAAATCTGTCTTACTACGAGACTCCTAATCATCTTAGTTGTACTTTCGGTGTTTCGATGTTATTTCGGAAATATTATTTTGAGATAGTGAATATTTATTGAAATTCAGGCTTGATGTCTACCCAAGAACGGTTGGTGTGATTTGAAAATATGAAATTTTGAAGGCCGTGTTCTGGATTGAACGAGTTACTCGTAAGTTTACTTAGAAGTTCCCGTGACCGACTGCCAGTTTTGCTTAATTTCGCGAGGCCCTTCGTGCGAGCTGCTTCGTGTAACTCAATGGTTGTTACATAGCCTACAGAGTGAACTGATCTGAAGCGCTAGAAATCTCTCCCCTACTACTACTACTGGCCTACAGAGGTTGTTATTTGTGTACTGTCGATGGTCACCGCAATAACACACACATAGATTCCTCATTGAACATTTGATGGTTTCATATCTCCTGTTTAGAACTGTTGAAACTAATCCAAACTACTTTCAATGTACTTTCTTTAAGTATAAAAATTGATTTTTTGTACGGTTAGTGTTGACTTGCAAGTAAAGAATGTCTGTAAACCCCAAATAAGTCTATCGCGTTGAGGGATTAGTTCATTTTTTTTCGTGAGAAGTTTTTTGTTTGGTCATCTTTTGAGTTCAACAGAGGAATTTGTTTACGTGCAGCACCCTGGATATCACTGTTAGTTATTGGGGTATTTGTTCAAGAAGACGAAGACTAATCAGTAATTCAAGCTGCATGTATTACTTTCATTTAGTCTAACTAACAGTTAAGATAGATGTTTATTTTTTTCTATTTGTGAGTATATTTGTAGGATAGCTTCGGGTGCTGTGTGTGTAAAGGAGTCATGGCTGTTGATAGGTGTAAATGCTTAACGTTGTTGTAGATCTGTAATTTGTGTTTCATTCAAGTTTTGTTTCAAATAAAAGTTGTAGTAATCTTTCCTCCGGATTTTAAACAAAATTTACATTTTGAAATCTTACTGTAATTTATGGGTTCACTACAAATGCAGATGCTTTGAATTTTATTTATTTACTTTTTTGAATTGATTTATCTGAGTTTTAATATGGATTATTCCTCCTATATCCTCCTTCAACGCCTTGCGTGTGTTCATTGCTGTACAAATGTCGTCAACGTATACATACTCGTACTATCCGAAGTAATGTTACAGTTTCATGCCATCTTATTATAGCTTCAACGATGTGCCTAATCTACACATTTGTTGAGAGAAATTTCATTTTTTGTTGAATAATGCCAAATGCTCATAGCATCTGCTTTATAATCCTGGTAAAAATATTCGCGTTGCCTGTCTTCTCTTTTTTTCAACTGCGCCGCATCTCGGAACTGTTATGTTTCAGGATATGCTTTCCTCTACATCTATGATGCCATGGCTACAATTACAACTTCCCTTTCACCGGAGGAAAAAATGCCTTTCATATTAAGCTTTTGATTTAACACCAATCACAAGTTTTGCAATCAAAGCTGCAGCGTTTGGCTCACGCATTGGCCAACGGTCAATGCACTTGTAATTCTAGTACAACTGAACGAGTCTTGTCCGACTAATCTTGCCCAAAATAAACTCAGGGAACGGGCCCGCAATTACGGTACCACAATTTCATGTCCCTTAAAACGTAACTCTGAAATATGCCGAGCAATAGGGGATATGTTGTGTTGTTGCTCAACGTCATACAGGTTTTGACGCTTGCAGGTACAGGTAAGCTTCAATGCTTTAATCTTTGCACTCAATCCCAGAGCTTATTGTTGAGGCAAATAATTTTCAAAAATGTTCGTACAAATGTTGCAAGATGAGTTAATGAGATTTTGACAGAGTGGTTTTTCCTAATAAAAATATAGCCGTATTTGTAATGCGTTATGAACTCAGTTATACCTTCAACTTCATGTATTTTGACTCCACCTGACGAATGAAACTCGGGGTATCATGTTACGGTGGTTGTAAAATAGATGAAGGCACATATTTCTTCTTAGGGCGGCGTGATGCTGGGTTTTTCAAGATATTCCCCATGTCTGTGAGAGACTTGTATATACTATCAGAGATGTAGGTGGTTTGCTGTACTTGGTTGTGTTTGCTGAATATTACACGAAACTATGCCTAATGTCTTGCACCGACTTTCTCCTCGATGCTTTGAAAAATGTTGTCTCTGCAACGCAGTGCTCGCGCCGTGTCATTTTCCAAAGCTTCTTGTACAACATATGATTTATGTAGAGCATTCGTACTTAGTCAACATTAATATGGTAAAACCTTAAAGCTCTTAAACATAATTTTTGAAGATAAATTAGATGTCGATTTAAATGAAAAGAGTTTCTTTATGAAAATAGTTTTGCATTCCTTGTCCATAACTAATATTTCTGTTTCTGAATAGCTTGCAAGCTGACGTGAAGTAATTGCAACGCACACAAGTAGATTTTTATTCTTCTGGACTCTCATTTGACGGCTGATCACTGCCTGCCACTCTCTTTTAATGGAGTTGTTATTATTTTCTTGATATCATAAAGACTTTAATGGCGAATAATTATTACTATTATCTGTTACCGGAGAAGTCACTCTATTGACTCCTATGAAGCTTTTTTTTTTTTTTTTTTGACGTGTGAAACCTCAACAATGTTTCTCGCTCCATGATTTGGTAGTTGGGTGCCGTTCGTGTCGGTTCTAGCCGTGATGTGCAATTCAGTATCGGGAAAATTTTTGGAATGCTAATTTCGGGTCTGAAGTTTTCGATTACTACAGTACTTCTAATCCAGTAATGTGACCTCACAAAATGTTAAGTCTTGCAAAAATCTCTTCAGAAACTCGTCCTTGATGAGTTTTCATTTTCTTTCTACGAAATATATTCAAATAAATCTTGACCTTACTGGTGTAACTACGTTTTGGCCTTGTGAAATATCCCATGCTTTTGTAAGTTATTGCTTCTATATATTTTATTATTTGATGATTATTTGAAGTCAGTTTGCTATTTGATGGTCACTTGATGTCTACGTACTTCTTGAATGTGTTCTTCGCCTATTGAAAGACTAATTTATGTAATAATATTATAATATTGTTCACCATTTGTTCGAGAAACTGAGAAAGAGGCTCGACTACAGTTCATATCTGCATGTCATACTGACATCCCCACTAGTGTGACTTATAATTGAAACATGTCCTCTGGTAGTTTTTTGTATCTAAATTTTATTAATCATGTTACGTGTGGTTACTGTTTTGTTTCAGAGTCGCCTTCATTAAAAAATTGTATTGCCTTTTGGGTTACTTACTTCAGTCGCCATTTATCTGTACATTCTTCACTACTGAGATCGGTGCGATGAAGTCCACGAAAGCCGCGACGTTTTGTTAGATGCTAAGTTCGATTGCTTACCTACTGCAAAACTTAGTTTCAGGTCCTTTTTTATCTTGGTTTCCTATTCATTATAAGGTAAAAATATGGTCACTAAGATATTATGATATTTTTCTTTATTAAATTTTTTGCCCTTATATTATGGACTTCCCGGCAAATTTTCTTTATTATTTGTTGCGATTTCTCTGTTTCCTGCCTTTTTTATTTAATTTTTTCTTATATTTACCTGGCTCTTTTTTCGGATGCAAATGTCTCTCTTCAGCGAGCGCTATGATCTCGTTTGAGAATGTGTTAACCAAGTTACTTCTTATCTTCAGTAAAATTGGGTACTGAAATTTATTTCATTTTAATCCAAAATTCCTCATTATCGACTGTTAACTCGTTTGCTTCTTGTAAATCGGTTATCAAAGGTTGCTCGGCGGAGCCCAACATCGCGTGCACATGTGACAGTTGAATGTATCATATTATAGTGATGCCAGTGCTGAAGAATAGGCCTGACATGTGACAATTGTGACGCATATTATATTTTCGTACGACAGGTGCCATATATAGCTCCAAAGGCTGATCCTAGAGCGCTGTATATGTGCACTCGATAGTTGCCCATGGTTGAACTATATACTAGTTCAACCATGATAGTTGCCTGCCTGCACGTTGCAGCACTTAGAAACAGATCATTGTCTCTCGTAATCCTCATTAGTAGTACTCGATTAACAACGTGGAATTGTTTATTATGACTATAACACAATAACATAAGTCCACCATTTTTAGTGTCAGCCTGTTCGATCGCTCGCCCTTAAAAAAATTCAAGGTTATGCGATCCCTTTAAATGTGCGCGCCGCGAACTTGAGGGATTTAAATCGACTAGTCCTCTCCTCCCCTCACCACCTCTCAACGGTCGCAGCTTAACCGCCTTGGTGTGGCAACTGCTGATATGCTTCATCTCTGACTCATTCTCCTCGATAAAGTTGTGCGTAATTCGAATCATTATATTGCTATCCGTCATGTAGCCCCAAACGACATCTATTTAGTAATGTTTACGTATCAAAAACGCATATTTCACGATTTTTTGGCAACTAATCACTAATAAATATAAATGAGTTGGATTGAAAACAATGCGTCAGAGGCGTACACATAGATATTACAGGGGTACCCATACATGATACTGATACATCCCTGTTCCTCGCTGGGTTCAAGTTTATATTGGTGTGACAATGAGAAGAGAAAAAACTTGGATGAAAGTTCATGACGAGTCTAATTTTCTAGGGTTGGTTGACTCTCGACAAAGCGCTCAGGTATGCCGCCCAGAAAAGGTGTACGATGACCAATTTCCAACAGGAAGGAGGCTTTGGATGTCAGTGTAGCGGTGGCTGTTGGAGAGTGTGGATGTGTGGTGTTGCTATGGCGATCTGTTCGTAGCGCAGGCCAAATTATTGGCTTATCATTGAGTGACTCAGTAATAGTTTTAGTTATCAAAATGAAAGATAATTGGCGCAAAAATTGTCAATACTTGATATGTGAGTGCAGAAGACACATAATATACGAAATGCCAAGAAAGATGCCAGTCTTGAGATACTCGGTAGGATGGTTTGTGTTGACCACTGCTTTCTTGATTCTTGCATTACGTCCAGACGGCGTCAATTGTAATTATAATGATGTTTTTCGGACTTCATGGCGTAACAACCGTTCGCCTCCCCAAGACAGCAATATTTGGGATAAAATCAAATATTTTTCAAGAATTGATTTGAAGTCAGATGTTCATAATCGTGATAATGTCATCCATGACATCGGTGACTCCAACGGACTTCGTTCAAGAAGGTCAACATCCAAATACTACTATGCCCGAGAGGAATCTCCTCACTACATTACAAGTGAAATTCAGGTGCCGATTGGAGAAGAGATGATCATAGAACCTGGAGTTGAAATGCGGTTTGATCCTGGCGTCGGTATCACAGTCCGGGGAGTTTTAACTGCAAAGGTACGAAGAAGTTAACAAAATTGCAAGTCGTATATTTATTGGTTGTGTCGGTCCCTGATTGATGAAACCGAGTTATCTTCCGATAAAATAACTTACAAAGTTACAATTGTATGGATGATATTTTGTTCTGTAGATTACTGGATGTGTATATCGAGAAAAACTTAATTGTGAGTATACTTTATCTACGGATAGTCACATTGATTTCGATGATCGGATTTGTGATTGATCAGAGGGCCGTCTGTATATGTTTCGTACGTTTTTATTAGTGTTTAACTGGCATTCAAATCTGAATTATAGATAATAACACGGATGAACATAATGTTTGGTGAACACTGTTGGCTGTTTGTCTAAAAAAAATTGAAACAATTGTCTGGCAAATGTTCAAAAATATAACGAAAACTTTAGACAAAGAACGTTTCAACGTGGTCCATGCAGCTAGCAGGCCGAGGCCGTAGTTTACTTACTCATGCTCACGTTAAATAACTTGGTGGTTTTATTTATGGCTACGTAGTTCTGTGCAATTGCTTCAATGCAATTCTGATTGAGAACCTCACATTCAAGAATTTACTGAAGCAGTATCAAAATTTCAACGAAACACCCTACTGGATGTTGAAATTTTCTCCATATAAAACTGTCACCCGAAGCTTTAAGTTTTGACCCTTACTTATCTAGGTTACTGGGCCTATTCTTAGGTATTATGCTAGACTGAAATGTATTAGAGGTCATAGAGGCCTTCCTAGTAACCCACAGCCTCGTGCGTTTTGACTGTGGTAGTATATAGGCCAGCGTATGCATGTCATAGTGGTTTGACATCTTGCCCCTCCATATTGGTGATTGTACACAATCACCAATACGTACACGGTGATTGTACACGGGAACAGTAGTGGCGGATATTAATACTTTCCGAGACTAACCGACACTATTTCCCTCGCTATTGGCCTCGTGTAAATGCGCTACGTACTGGTCACGGAAGGATCCAGTAACTCTATACACGAGGCCAAAGCATGATAATTTGACGGCATTAGTCGCCGCTATACTGTCCTGTGTCCATCACCTTCTGACATGGAGGCGAATGATGTGTCTCGTCATCATAAGTTGAACACACTAATTTTGACCGTTTTCATGTTCATTGAGTTATTTAACGCAAGCAATCGAGGTTCATAAACGTAGGCACGTTATGTGGACGGTAATTCTCGTGAAATTCGATACCTACTTGGGAGAACCTTATTAAGTCTCGCTTGCGTTGATGCATGCGTCGTTTTGAAAGCCATTTCCAGTACTCCTTCTTGATAAACCGTGGCAATAGTGAAATTGATGTTGTATGGCCACAAATGAATAACTGACTTTTAAAAAAATCTTCGTGCTGTTATTATTGTTATATCATTTGTCTGTTTAAATCACAAGTTCACCAAGAATTTAAAGGCAAAGAAGACGCCAAGTTCACTGAAGATATGTTGAACTAACTTGGCTTCTTTTTTACTTTTAAATTCTTGATATCATTGCTGTGATATGGGAGAAGCCTGTTACGGTTCAAATGTATTGTAGTGCAGAGTGAGAGCTCAAGCTTCTGTGCAACTCTTGCATCTTTGATCACGACCTCTGTGGTAACAAATGTCAAGTTAAAGGGCTTCTCCCTGACCAAGCTTTGTTATTTCTCTTGATTTTGGGCATGAGAACACTCTGTTGGTCAAGTTTTGCAACGCGGAAACCTCCATAAACTGCCACCGTCAAGAGCGAAAATATTCTTAGTAATGACAATTGACAAGTTTACGAAAATTATTGTTCTATACATACTGGTAAATGGTAATTGTTACAAATATTCACCAAAACTTTGATATATTGGATATTTTTAGTCGAAACGGATTCAGATTTCGAATTTTTTCCAGTATTTCCTACTGTTGCAGTTGCCGTTCACGAATGACTTGATTTCTTCAACTATTTTTTCGGCAGTTCAGTTCGTCCTCTAGCGTATCCCGCCACCGCTGCCTTCGTTAGCTCAAGTCACGCTTTCACTCGCAGCCGAGGCTTTTTTCCACTCTTCCCCTTTGTTTTACCGATTCGCGGCTTGCTCCAAATTCCCATCAAAATAATTTTCTATCCGATGTCTAGTGAAGAGTTTGAGACGAAATTCAGTTTAGACTTACAATGACCGCTTGTACCGTAAGTAAAGTGGGAAAATAGAGAGCTTGAGACTGAATTAAGCTTCGACTTACAATGGCCGTTTGTCCCGTAAAATATAATTACACTGATATTCATATTTATTCATTATACACCAGTTCATTATTATATATACACCATTATTGTTGTGTTTGTCCAAAACATGTTTAGTTCCGTGCTAGCTGTGCCATGCTATGGTCGTCACTACACGGCGTGAGCTGGCAATCGATGTGGTGAACATCGATCTTATGTACCGCCCTCATATAACTAACGTTGAAGGTCGACCTCCGCTTTCTTATTAACAATGTTTTACTTCAATACTTAATATTGTTTTACTATATTATTTTACAATGCTTTACTTCAATACTTAACATTGTTTTATTCAATTACTTAACAATGCTTGACTTCGATACTCATCGCGTGCTCCTTTACGTAATTTGCATGATCCCGTCAATTCTGTCGACCAGTAATCCCGTCTCCAGTTACTGTGCTTCAAATTTCTATTATTTATTGTTTGGACTCAACTATTACCGGTATCCAACAGGATCAAGAATATTTTGTTTCCTCGATGATGCATATCTAACGACCTATTGGAATATGCCGTACGATTTAAGATAACGTTTATGTAGACTCTAACTATTAGCCATTCATTAACCGTTTACCATACACTCCTCTGGAGGGCGTTTTTGAAAGTGCGATTTTAATTTCTCGTCCCGTTGGGTGACAGTTTCTTTGGTCGCTGTGAAGTTGCACTCGGCAGATGACGGGGCTGAGGTAGCGGTGCTGCGGTTGCTCGCTGTTCTCTCGTTGAGGTTTCTCTGCTTCTACAAAACTGCTTGGCATTTGTCCGGCCGTGAAGACAGGAAAATTATTAGCTTCCACTCCGTTGATTCATCTTGTTTTTCAAATGAAATATTTTCTCCATTCCTAATTTTTTACAACTGCGCGCATATCGCTGTACATTCTCATGCATGACAGTTCCAAAAGAATTATATAGAATGCATAGAACAGTGGTTCCCAAACCTTTTCAGGCTGGCGCCCCCATTGGCTCCCTAGTGAATTTCTAGCGCCCCCCACAGACATATAAAAACATACGCCTCTTTCTTGAAATTTAGTACGCTGCAATTTTAAAAGATAAAGGTTAAACACAAATCTGTATTTCACAAATAGAACCCCATTTAGTGAACCAATATGTTTTTAAGCTGTTTTAACTGTTTCAGCACTAGAAACCTAGGACGTCTCGGGCAAATTTACGGCCCGATTCGTGGCCGGTCGCACGACCAATCTCCAAATTCAATTATCAAGTAATATCTTCCAAACTAATGAACGCAGCTCAATGAAACTTCGAACATGTATTCATCAAAGCCTAACGGGGATTTTTAGCTCGTAAAAATTTTTTAATTTCACCTTCATTCGTGAGTTATATTGCGATAAAGGCCGAAATTCGCAGTGATCAAAGAATTTCTTCCAAACTACTGAACAGATTTGAACGAAATTTTGAATATACATTCCTAACTACCAAACGGTGATTTTTTAACTTATAAAAAAATTTCGATTTTACTTTCGTTTGCGAGTTTTATTCTATTTCACCGTCATTCTTGATTTCACACTTCCTTATTATTCGGCCCGTATCACCGGATAATTTGTCGCTTAGATTCGCGGCGATCAAGAAATTTCTTCTAAACTACTGAACAGATTTCAACGAAACTTTGTATATAAATACCTAACTCCCAATGGTGATGTTTAGCTCGTGACAACTTTTCTATTTTGTTTTCGTTCGCGAGTTATACAGATATAGGAGGGACGACCGGCTTTTCTACCGGCCGGTTTAACCAAGAGCCATTTACGATTATCCGTATACGTATAGCCGTATAACTCGCAAACTAAGGCAAAACGAAAAATTGTAGTGAGCTAAACATCACCGTTGCTGAGGTTAGGTATTTAAATACTAAATTTCGTTCAAATCTATTCAGTAGTTTTGGAAGAATTTTCTTGATTCCTGCGAATTTAAGCACGTCTTGCTGTTTAAATCACGAATGAAGATGGAATGAAAAAAAAAAAAACTCGCGAACAAAGGCACAATCGAATAAATTTTCACGAGCTAAACATTACCGTTCCGTAGTTAGGACTGTAAATTCAAAATTTCGTTCGAAAATCACTGTGAATTTTGGCCCGTATTGCCATATAACTATGGCAAAAATAAATGAAAAAAATGTAAAAAAATTTCACAAGCTAAACATAACCGTTAGGCCCTAATGAATACGTGTACCAATTTTCATCGAGTAAAGTTCATTACTTTGAGAGAAATTCCTTGATCGTTGAATTTGGCAATTGGCCGTGAGACCGGCCGTTAGTTTGTTCGAGACGTAAACCCAGGAGAGGCTAAGTAAACAGATCTGGGTGAAAAAACCATCGCTGGGAGTCATGATGTGCTGTACGTGTTGTGTACAAATCGTCAAACAAACTTTGGAATTTCTGACTTTGATTTCGGACTGCCGCCCCCCTATCGCCCCCCAAACACCTTCTTCTTCCTTATCGCCCCCCAAAATCTTTCCACCGCCCATAGGGGGGCGATATCGCCCACTTTGGGAACCACTGGCATAGAACATGATAAGTAGGTACATTTTTCACTCACGCCTTCTGAGCTTGCGAAGAATTTTCCAACTGGTGACGTTGCTGTTTGTCATGCGAAATGGCATAAATGCTTCATTAACTCACCCGAAGCTTTAACATTTTCAGTTGACAATCATTACTTCATTTTTACTAATTACTGTTATAATGTATATTCGGACTTTTAGTGCATGTAATATTGTTCCATTCTGATGTTCGCAACAGACGAGACG